TCTCTCCTTTGATTTATCCTACCTGGCTCCTTTAGAAAGCCTTAAAGCCAAAATCTATGACTGTGCTATAACATTCAGGCACTCACCACTTTGGCTGTTCTTGACTGATTTAGCCAGAGCCTGTGTTCTTTGAACAAAAAGAAAAAAATTCAGCCCTAGGAACTTTTGACTTCCATTGAAATGCAAAGATTCAATTCAACTCAACACGGCATTAAGAAGAGAATGAAGTAGAGAAAGAGTCCTTCAAATGTAATTTATTTCAGGTTCAGAAATACAACTTCACAATTTTCACAACAGGTGCATATGACCTTCAAGAATGATACAACAGGCTTTAGGAACTTGCTGCAAATAACCCGTCCATTTCCAGGTTCGGGTATCAACACTAGGAAATCACTGACAGTCCTGGCAGGTCAGTGGGACCTATTCTGGCTCAGATTAATAATTAGAGAATCAACAGAAAGAACCAAATTTTGCTAATATATGAACACTGTTCTTTATAAAAAATGTTTGGATGGTTCTGAAAAGGAGAGAGAAAAGAAACACAGACAACACAAATAAAACACAGGCTGGTAACACTGAGTAAGTCAAAAATCGAGTAATAGTGGTAAACTTTCTGGATGGAAGGAGCCATTCTTATCAGATCGCCTGCAGACAAAGCAAGAGGGAAGACAGGCAGAGTAATATTCATTTATGACGAGAGACTATTCTATTATGTTACACAGAGAGCAAGATGTAAGTATTCCTAAGCTGAAGTTTTAAACCAATAACAAATCAATAATAATAATAACAATAACAATAATAATCAAACAGTTGAGCCTTATGCAAACACCAGACCAGAGAGGTGAGAACTCTCACCAATACATCAATATGAACAGGTCATAAGACAAACAAAAGAAATCTCTCACTTCACGTGTTTCATCTCTCTCTCTCTCTCTCTCTCTCTCTCTCTCTCTGACACACACACACACACAAACTTACATATATACAAATATATAATTACACAATACCAGATATACACCAAAATAGTGTTAAAGATTTGCATATAGAGCACCACATACTTTACAACAAATCAACCAGCCAGGGTGACAAAATTGATTTGGTAGACACATGTGACAAGAAAAGCTTATTTGGAAAGGGGTAAAAGGCCAGACACTATGTGGTTGGATGATCTGGTGATCTTTTCTCTAGGATCATTCTGGATCATCCACATTTGAAGTAGCATTCGTAGTAGGCATGCATCTCCCCTGCTCTAAGTTCATGGGAGAGTTGCAAATGATTTTCTTCCACTGAGTTCCATAATTTGAAAATGTGGTACCTGGGCACTTTGTACGACACTAAGGAAATTTCCTGGATGATTTTCAAACAATTACACCAAGTGCCAAATGTAATAACAGTGTGAATAGTAGATTTGAAAAGGATTTTTTTTCTTCCATTGAATTTGTTTGGAAAAGCCTCAATTTTCTTTATGTTGTCACCTCTCTCCATTTTATTCTTGGAAACATATGGCAGAGAGAAAACAAACATGTGCATCAACTTTTTAGAATCAATTTCAGTGACCCAGAGAGCAATTTGGATTCCCAATCAGGGCCCTTAAAATGTGAGTTTCCAGACTGTATACGTCATGTTCATCTGTTTGAAAAAAGGATGTCCATTCTTAGACAGCACAACTCTGAATCGAAATTAAATGTCTGTGAGTGTTATGCTGACTTATTTGAGCGCAGAATGCCATGATCATTCTCAGAGTTTGTGTGTGTCCCCTCTCAAATAAACACAATTTGGTCAGAAGACTCATGTGTTTTGTGAGACATGGTCTTCTGTTAGATAATTGCCATATATTTCCATAAGTCCTTCATAGCTGTCTTTTACATTAACAGGTTTTTTTTTGCACTATATTTGTGAACACCCACACTGGACATAGAGATAGGTACATACATACATGTACCTAAATACACACATATATGCACACTATACATCTATAAATCATACCCATGCTTGAAGCGTTTTATCAAATGCTTTATGAGCTTCCACAAAACATATGTACTTACATAAACATGATTCAGTATTTACTGTATACAGAGTGACACATGCATAGAAAATGGGTTTGCACACATCAAACATCAACATTTATAACATATTGGTATTAGGTCTCTTTTCATATTTGAGAGTTATGGCTACAGTCTACACAGAAGGCTAATAAAATTAAGTCTACTTGACTACTTTTATTCTTTAAGTTTAGAAGGCTTATTATACTTAATAGCTCAGGAAACTGTTTCATTCTAAGGTTTAGGGTTAGACTTAGTTTCCATCTCAACAAATAGGAAACTGGCTAATAAGCAGATCCTGCTGCCCATCTAGCTAATGAAGCGCAGCTCAAAGCAAAGTTGAAGAGTTCAATGTTGGCTAGTGGTTTTTGGAAATGAAATATACCTGTTTAAAGTGAATTCTATTTCATCAATCTGTCCATGTCTTACTCAGCTGTTATTTTGACATGTCAGTATGCATGCAGCATTTATCTCATTTGTGGAAATGAAACAACCTCTAGTCATCATATCTACGTGTATGCTTCTGTATATTTGCTGTCCGGTGCCAGATCTGATAGAGCTAGGGTTATAGGAGTTACAGAGTCCAAGCAGCTAGCTTGCAAGAAAGTTCCATAGGAGGCTATAGCCAGCATGGTAAACATGTGGAACATGCATTCAGGTATATTCCTTTCCTAACGCCATATGTGCAGGGTGTGCCCCAAAGTAAAAATTCTTCAGAAGTTCAGCTTTCCCTTCCATCAGCTTCTCCCTTTTGGAAAACATGAGCTCTTTGGGGAGTGGGAACAACGCTAACAAACAATTCATATAGTACCCGTGACTGTCCAAGTCCTCAGGCTGGCTAGCTTCTATTAGAAACATCTTAGAAGTGGAGAAAACACAAAAACAGTACCCCCAAAAGGAGGACAGTTATAGCCAAAAGTTTAACTGCAGGGTTATAATCTGGAGTGAAAGCCAAAGATGACAAATGTATTGTTTATGACTGCATAAGATCAGTGGAAAGAAACTTGAAAAAAATATGCAATTTTCTTTGACATGGTTTGAGACAATTTTAAAATGCACCAGCGGTTATCCACAATATTTTCCTTTAACTTGAAGGAAAATTTTTTTAAATACAGCAAAATGTAAAACCACATTTTGCACAAAGCCAAACCCCTGAAGTGGGAAGAGTATTAGGCAGCTGGTTGCCTCTTTGCCTGTTTAAGATAATGAAAGTGAAGGACAAAAGGAACTCCTAAAATGGGGATTCATATGAAAAGATCTTCTTGTATCCCCTAACTCTGACAAGTTATTTAATATTTTCCACTTACCTAAGACACACTTTTAAAGAGAGAACATGAACATTGAACATCTGCTTCATTTGCAAAGGGAGACTTTTTTTGTTTTAACATTGAGAAAACAAGAAATGAGAGAATTAGTATAGCTAGGGAATGTGGTTGTTCCTACTTTGATCTATAAATTAAACCTAAATATTTGGAAATTTTAAAGATGAGATGCCCTTCTTACCAAAGACGACTTCATTTGCTGGTTGCTACCTATAGTATTTTGCTATCCAAATTATCATTGAACATTTATGAAGTTTCATAAGGTCAACACCTTATTCAACCATTGAATTTGGCCAATCCTCTTTTTGAAATAGTTATACATTGATTATTATTATTTTTTTTTTACCTCATACTCTACAGGTGTCTGCTTTGGGTATAAACTACAGGAAATTAAAGTTGTTAACATACAAATCATGTGAACTGCTATAAAAGTAAAACTTTTCAGTTGGCAAAATCTGATTTGCTTCTGTACAATATGAAATAGCATATGTGACACAACTATTATATGAATATTTGATCTGCTGTCTGGGAATAGTTAGCTGATGAAATTCACTGCAGTCTGTGTAGAGATTTCCTTCATACCATTTCAGATTGTCCTCAGCAGCACAGAACTCTGCTGAGGACTGAACTATTAACTGACTAGCTCAGCTGCCCTTGGAAAAATTGGGAAAGTACTTTAGAAAAACAGGGGTGATTTTCAGCCCCTACTTCTCTGACTACCTTTTGTTATATCTGAATGTTCCGATTCTTTTTGTTGAAACCTGAGGGTGCTGAGTGACCTTAAGTTGGCTCTGGGAGGGAGGTGATTTTAGTTTGGGGTTTTTTTTACACCACGGCACACCTGTGTTGACAGGCTCTCAGTTGTACTTCCAGCTTTGTTAAGAATGATTTGAATGAACAACAACAACAAAATAACATTCCAATGGGAAAAATGGATGAAACAAACTCTTACGGAAAGCAATTATAAAGTAGTGTGGAATTTTTGCCTATACCAAAACAGCCAAGATAATAATAATGAAATGGAGTCAGTGTGAATGAATTTAAGTTACAACACTGTCTTCACAGTATGCAGTTGGTTAGCCCACTCATTTCGCAGTGGCAAATGGACCTGATCCCAGAGACTCAGACTCATATATTGGACTAGTCTCATCTCCTACCTTACTCCAAGCCATGGTAACCGTCACTGTTACGTACTCCAATGTGACTATTACTACTTATGTGAAAGAAGGAAGACTATTTTTCGGACACTATGACAGATGTAGTGTTTTCCTTCACTTTGCAATTCTGAAATTAAGTTGCTATGCCTACTGACTGATTAATGAAGAACAAGCTTGATTCACAGTTGTACATGAAGCAAAACAAGTCAGTAGAAGGAAAAGGTCTTTATGCTATGCAAAGCACTGAGTTTTCTTTAGCAAAGCACCTTATCAATTTTGAAAGCTTTGACTCCTAAGAAATCATAATGAAACCACTTCCCAGCAGGACTGTGAAAGGAAGGAGAGGGTAAGGGAATCTGAGTGTGTAATTATGGAGCAGGCAGCAGCTTTAATAACAGACAACAGAATTCCTCTCACCCTAATTAGAATTTATGGAAAGAAGTACGTGTTGCATAACGTTACTATTCCTTATTACACAGGAACACTCCTTAATGGAAAACATCATTAAAGCAAGTTGTTCTTAAATTTGGGAAAGGCCAAGTTCAGTCATATGCAGGTAAAGTATGTTGTTTCTTTGTATAGGACTGCACCCCAAACCTGCCTGGTCAGTGGCCTATGTAAAGATTCTATAAGGCCAGTCATTTTCATGGGTTGAAGCATTATGGACCTTCCCCAAAGACTGGAAATGCCACAGGCAATGCAGAGTGAGTGATGAGTATATTAGTAAAACTGGTTACTTGCCTACAGATGTCCACACATGCGACTACTCATGATTTATTGCAACAGTTATCAAATTAGTTGGTTTCATATAATTCGTTATCAATTAGTTGCCATGCCAGAAATTTCACTTAGTCTAAGAGAGAGGATTCTAATGGACGGATTATAGTGGGACGAGTTGGTGATGGAGGTGGTCTCCGGCTACAAAGAGAAAAAAAAAAGTAAAGAGACAAGTAGAAACATCTTGCAAACCTTTCTGGGACAGCAAGAAAGTGAAAACATAAGCATGCATATTCTCATAAATGCTGAATAGGAGCAGTTTCAGTTCATTACAGATAAGATATAGCAGCATCTCATTAATTCAGTACCTTAAAGGAATGAGATGTTTCACATGCAGGCATTTGCTGAATAGAACTGAAACTTTAAGCTTTTAAGCATCACAACTGGCATGCTTTTAACATTTTTGATGATCATCTCTCTTAGGTGTATTACACTTCCTTCCTAGAGTATATTAAAAATAATTTTGCTCCTTTTTGAGGTCCCCATTCTTTAAATGAACTATGCCCTGAGCGTCTACAGAGGCACATAAGGTTCTTTGTCCTACATAAATGGCTCTGGAATCTCCATCTTGATTCTTTAAAAAAAAAAATCTTGGCTTTATGTGTTTCCTCATTAATTCTCAGCTCTACCTTCTCACTCCTTTTTAAGTTGGTGCTTCTAGTTGGTGTGGAGAACCAGATAACCAAGCTTTTTAAGAATGGTTTAAAATAAGAAGCAAATGGGCTTGTAGTGAAGAGCTAAGAATTTCTCCTGTGAATACAGTAGACGTACATGGGGTCTTTGCCCTCTCTTTTGATATTCTGTTGTTCTTTGTGTTCCTGCACCTAAAAAGCCCAGCACGACTGATTGGTCATTCCATATTATTATGATTATTCCTTCACTGATCCCAAGATTAATTTCTTAGACAGCACACTCTCAATTACAATAATATTTGTACAGATACAAATTCTGTGCATAGTACTTGGCATATGGCAGGCACTTAATAAATTCTCATTCTCTTCCCCTTCCTTTTACCTTCACAGGAATGGGTTTAAGCTTACTCTCTATTACGTGCATATTATCTAGGTTACTATTGATATTTTGTAATTGAACTAAATTTACCAAATTATGTAAGCTGACAATTTTGATTTTGATAAAAGCTGCCACTTTTCTTTCAGAATGATACATTTTGGAATGAAAATCAGACCGCAGAATTCACTTGCAAGTTGGAATATCAGCTTGACTGCACCAAGGACTGTCACTAGGACTGTTTGCTGCCTGAACAAATATCACAAACCAATTCCAGGTCAAGCTACACAAAATAGTGTGTACTCTCTTGAGGGTGAAGAGTAAAACCAGACATCCCATTGAGACTATCACAGGGTGTCTGTGTGTGTGTGTATGTGTTTGCATGGTAGCTTCCTAGTTTAATTAATTATTCTTGTTAGCTAGGTGGTAAGCCCTGTTATTTCTATTCTGCTAAAGAATTGTAAGTGCTGTCATCCTCTACATTTGGTGTCCTGAAGGAAGCTCTAATTGCTCTACTTATGGTCCTGATTGTGCTAGAGGTTGGAAGGTAGAAAAAAAATCAGTTAGAAAAGAAGTACAAAGTTTCCCTCATTACAACCACAGAACAAAAGAAAAAATTGGGGCCCAAACAGCAGAGGGTCACTGTTGATGAATGGCTGTGATCCTAACCCATCCAAATCTGATTTTTAGATCTTTTTGATGTAAGTGTAGCACATTCCTCCATCACTGGTACCAGGCAGATGTCAGTTAGGATTCAAATAAGAGTTGTACTACGGAGGGCCATCAGCTGATCTGGTATAATGAAAAAATCCTAGATTAGAAGATAAATTCCTGAGATGTTCACATCTTGCTTCTGTCCCTTATTTGGTTGAATGCCCATGGTATTGACTAGGCACTAACTTTTCTGAACCTTAGTCTCATCAACTGTAAAATGCAAAGGATAATATTTACCCACTCATACTGAAGAAAGTTCTTTACTTTTAAACCATTAAAGCCATATAAATGTGAATAACAACAGCAACAATAATGGTAGTAATAACAGAACTAAATGCAAAAAGGAATATTTAAATTGACAATAAAGGGTTTTTTTCTTCTTTTTTTTTTGTCATTGGGTAAGACTTGATTAGGAAAACAAGGCCTCTTTAGAAGTAGACCATGCCTAATTAGAAATACTGATGATTTCTTCCAGGCATTTAAAACCATGACTCCTAGCTATACTCTATATCATTAAAAACAACTTTGTTCACAATGCTAAATATTTTTTAAAATGGATGTCCTGAAGTATGACTACCTCTGTTTGCATCATTATTCCTGCTTAGATGGTAAACCTCTAGAGCTAGGCTTATTTTAGGGTTTGTGAACTTATTTAAAAATTTTTTTGAAAACTATATTTAAATATTATTAGTTTTCTTTGTGATAGTATGCATTAAAAACATACTAATGATAAGGGGCCTATAGAAGGGATTCACCAGGCAGCCAAAGGGGTCCATGACACAAAACAGATTGAGAATCCTTGGTCTAGAGGATCAGAATAATTTGCATTTTTAGAAGGATATTGACAAATTGGAGCATGTTCAGAGGAGTGTGACTAGGACAGTTGGGGGAACTAGAAACCATATTATATAAGGATTCATTGGAGACAATGAGGCTGTTTACTCTAGAGAATGGAGGGCTGAGAAGGACATGATCCCTGTCTTCAAATAGTTAAAGGACTTCTATGTGGGGAAAGAGTTTGGATTCATTCTGTGTAGCTTCAGCAAGCAGAACAAGGATCAACATGGGTACATACAGAGAGGCAGATTTTATTTCAAAATAAAGAACTTCTCAATCATTGAAGCTGTCCAACAGTAGAATAGTGAATTCCCAGTCACTGACAGTATTTCAGTGGAGGCTGGATAATCCCTTTTCAGTAATGTTGTAGACACGATTAATTCATCATCTGGGAGTTTGGCTTAGATGACTCTTGAGTTCTTTTAACTTTGTTATTCCGTGAATCTTTATTCACTTGTTTTAAATGGTCAATGTGCAGTTAGATGTTTAAAAATTATTTTAACTTTTGATTTATATTATCAAGCATATGATGGTGATTCTAGAAAGAATGTCTTCAAAATATTGTTGAATGTGATCTGATTTTGTACATTAGAACATGGACTTTCCTTCATCTCTTGCTTTATATACAGGCAGCCTCTCTAAAACCTGGCTCCCATCTACCTTTCCAAGATTTTGCCCCTACCTAGCTTTGTGATTTTGGATGTTGCCTAATCGTTCTTGGTTTCTTCATCTGTAAAATGAAGGAAATTGAACAAGATAATGTCTAAACTTCCTTGTAGTCCTGACACTGTATGATTCAGTAATTTGGAACAGGGCCAGACACCACTGGATAACAGCAGAGTGATATGATCAAAGTAGTGGATAAATATAATTACAGTTGCTGTGTGTAGCATTATGAATAAGTGAACACTATAAAGTGAATAATTAGTAGGTTATATGAGTTGAGGCATGAGGTGACTAGGGCTTGAATAAGGAAGCCTAGTGGTCTGGCTGTGAGTGATGGGTATGTTCAATTAATGTTGTGGAAAAGGAAGAGGTTTAACTTCTCAATAGCTAATATCATTGGGTATGAAAAAATTGAGAAGATAGCATAGTAGCACTGCCTACAGCAGTGGGCATTTCAGGAAAGAAAGGAAGAATCTTGACCAAAAAGATAAATGAAACTTACATACTTTCTCTCAAGCTGGTTAATATCTTAAATATTAAAATTAGGCACAGAAACATTATATATATATATATATATATATATATATATAGAGAGAGAGAGAGAGAGAGAGAGAGAGAGAGAGTGTTAGGTTCTTAATAAATGTGAAATTGAATAGAATCCTAGTTCATAATTTTATAGGAATAAAATTAAACTACAAATATGAATATTTTGTAATCAACTTGGACCTACAATTGCTTCAGAGAAAAATGAGATCAAAATATTTAACTAAAATTTTAGTAGATGTCTCTTAAATCTTACTAGAAAATGGCACAAAAAGAATACTAATTTATTAACTGTCAGAGGATTGGGCCAAAACTATTAAGATGAAATTTATATGGATAGATAGAAAATCTTATACTTGGTTTAAATAATCAAGTTCATAAGTATGATATGGCAGAGGGAGTCTATGACTAGACAGAAGTTTATCTGAAAAAAAACTAGGATTATTAGTAGATTACTCAAAATCTAATGTAATATCAGGTGGTAGTAAAGCAGGCATAAGGTCCAGAGAATACATAGTTCCACTGTACCTGCACTAGGGAGATCCCATGAAAAGAACTGTTCATTTCTGGGGGCTAAATTTCATAATGACATTGATAAGCTAGAGAGTGCTGAGAGAAGGGCTACCAGGAAAGTGAAGGGTCTTCATGACTCATGAGGGTTTGTGGAGGGAACTGAATATTTAGCCTGGAGAAAGGAGGAGACTTATGGGGATATGAAAGCCATTATGTTGTGAAGGCTGATCACACAGAAGAGGGCTTAGACTTTATTGTGTTAGACCTCATATGGTAATACTGGGAACAATGGGAGGAAGCAATGAAGAGCCAAAATGAGGATAATGTAAATAAAAAAACCTTCCTAACAATGATCAGTATGTCAGTGGAGAACAAAGCTGCCTCAGGAAGCAGTGGACTCCCTCCCTCATTAAAAGATCTTCCGGAAGAGACTGGGTGGCTACTTTTCAGGTTCATTCAGAGAGCATTCCTGGACAGGTGTGGGTGAGACTCAGCAATCTTTGAGATCCTCTCCAACTCTCAGATTCTGGGACTCAAGGTGAGTTTTACTAATACAAAAATGCTAAGATATTCCCTCTGGGGAATCACCAGAAAGAAAGCAAATTTGATTTTGCAAGCATTTATTAAGTACCTACTATGTGGCAGACACCATACTAGATGCTGAAGACATAAGGACAAAAAGGACAACAGTCCAGTTCTCAAAGATTTTACATTCTCCCAAGGAGCAACATGTCAATCAGTCAATTAACAACAATTTATGGAGACTCTCTATGGGCCATGCATTGCACGGATCTTGTGTTTTGTGTCTGGTATCGATATTTAATGTGATAGTCTAGAGAATACAAAGAAAAGCCAAAATAGGCCTTGCCCTCAAGGAGCTTACATTCTAATGTAATTGTAACATGTGAACCACTAAGTTTGTATGAGATAGTACACAGCAGGCGGGAGGCAATCTGAGAGGGAAGGGAGATTAACAGATGTCTTCAGTTGGTGGGACTTGAGTCTTAAGGAAGCCAAGGAAGTCCGGAAGAGGAAGGGGAGAAGGAGAGCATTTCAGCAATAGGCAGGCAACAGTCCGTGCACAGAGGTAGAGAGATTGCCAATGGCTGGAGGAGAGTAAAGTGTAAGGAGATTGAAAAGCTAGGAGGAGCCGGGCTGTGAAGAGCTTTAGAGGCCAAATGAAGGGGTTTACATTGTTTTTGGAGGTGAGAGGGAGCTGCTGGAACTTACTGAGTAGGGGTGATGTGATCAGACCTGAACTTGAGAAAAATCACCTTGGCAGCTTGAGGAAGGTTTAAATGCAGAGGGGTGAGAAGATGCATTTGAAGTCTATTGCAGTGGTCCAGGTGAGAGGCGATGAAGGGCACACAAGAGAAATGATGTGGAGGCAGAAGAGACAAGATTTAGGGTGAGTGAGAGCGAAGGGTCAAAATGATACCAAGGCTGAGTGCCTGAGAGGACTATGGTGCCCTCAATAGTAATAGGCAAGTTGGGAAGAGAAGGAGTTGGGGGAAAGATGAGTTTGAGACATGTAGAGGTTGAGTTGCCTTTAGGAATGCATTCAAGATGTCCAAAAGACAGTTGGTGACGTGGGATTGTAGCTCACAAGACAGACTAGGACTGGATCTATAGAACTCAGAATTCTCTTTATAGAGATGACAAGTAAACACCATATGTCGAAAACACAAAGGGTTGGGAGGGCTGGAAGTGTTTGACAGCAAAGGGAAGATCAGGAAGGGCCTCACAGAGAGGGAAGAATTTAAGTGGAGGCTTGAACAAAGCCAGGGATTCTAAGAGGCAAAAGTGAGGAGGGAGAATATTGCAGCCATGAGAACCCCAGTCTGTGCAGGCATAGAGGTGGACACAGAATGCTGTCTAAGGGGACTGAAGAAGTACATTTCAGGTCAACCATTAATGCTCATTTCATGATTTCAGCTTCTAACCTATTCAAA